AACCAGCGAGTTAACTAAAATTCTGGGGTTTGAGAATCCCTGCCAACCAGCGAGTTGACTAAAACTCTGAGGTTTGAATGCCCTTGTTAACCAGCGAGTTAACTAAAATTCTGGGGTTTGAGAATCCCTGCCAACCAGCGTGTTGACTAAAACTCTGAGGTTTGAATGCCCTTGTTAACCAGCGAGTTAACTAAAATTCTGGGGTTTGAGAATCCCTGCCAACCAGCGTGTTGACTAAAACTCTGAGGTTTGAATGCCCTTGTTAACCAGCGAGTTAACTAAAATTCTGGGGTTTGAGAATCCCTGCCAACCAGCGTGTTGACTAAAACTCTGAGGTTTGAATGCCCTTGTTAACCAGCGAGTTAACTAAAATTCTGGGGTTTGAGAATCCCTGCCAACCAGCGAGTTGACTAAAACTCTGAGGTGTGAGTGCCCTTGTTAAACGATGTTTTTAACTAAAACTCTGAGGTGTGAGTGGCTCCTTGTCAAATGGTATTTTGGCTAAAAATCTCTGTCTTGTTATTACTATATGTCATTGCTGGTTTGTGTGCTGCTTTGTTGATGTGTGCGTATGCGTGAAAGACTGTGTGGAGGTTTAAATACGGCTCTGTATTTTACCTCATATAAAACAGTAGGGGGTAAGCAGCAAACCTCTTGTGGATGCAGAGGCAAGATTCTCCCACTCGAAAGAGTTGAAGTGGAGAAATACCACAACAAGGTATTTTTAATTGCTGGCCTACTGAAAAGATCTCCAGTTCATAGAACTCCCTAGGAGTTAACAAAACTGGACTAAATTTTAAATAAATAAAAATTTGAAGCCAAAACTGCAAGTGATTTGTATAATGGAAAATGCAAATTCGTGTAATTCCTCACTCGTTGAGGGCCCCGATGGGGATGAGAAATACATGCTGTCCAGATTTCCTGGTAGCATGGTATACATAAATAAAAATAAAAAAAAAATGGAAAAAGAAATATAAAAATGGGAAGCTAAAAATTGATCAATGGAAAAAAAAAAATTGGAGGCTCGTCCGGGATTCCTTACACACACGCCGCTGACGGAAGGAGTATGACGCGCTGAAATCTACCGGTAGTCAGGTTCTGCGGACCTGTTTTGAAAAGTCCCGGGGGGTAACTTCCTCGCTGGGCCAGCGTCTTAGGTCACCTCCTTCTGCCAGCAGCAGATTGCCGGAATACAAACCGAGAAAGAGCAGGAATCAACCAAGTACTGGACTAAATAGAAGAAATATGGTATAGATGGCGTGTTGAAAGTAAAACAATAGAAAATGTGGTGTGTAAATTGGAAACAAGCACTAGTTCGAAAAGTGGTACCAAACATCAGGAAACTATTGGTTGTTGTTAGAGCCTAACATAAGTTTGAGATATCTCTTTTTAAATGTGCACATTATTTAAAACAGGATCCTGAAGAACACAGTTTAAGGAAGAAAATGAATAAATTAAAACATGAAAAATGTTAACCAAAAATATTGGAAAGTTTCTGAAGCTTCAGTAAAATTTCATAAAATTAAGTATAATTTGCTAAACAATTTGAGAAAAGCAAAAAGATGAGGACTGACTGATAATCGATGACTGATAAAAATTTTGACTGACTACATATCTGACTAATCGTTTTTTGTTCTGTGTTTCTGTTTGTGTTCATGCTGGCGTAAAAGAGTGTGATTGAAAACTTTTAAATAAATAAATAAAACAAAAGGAAGTCCAAAAAGTGAGGAAAAGAAGGTTAGGAAGATATAGAGTATTGGCAAATAAATAAACAAGGATCTGAATAAATAAATGGTTCAGTAAATAAATGAAATAAAATAAAAGGATGATCTAAAAATAAAATAATAAAAAATGCGTTGCATGATCTGAAGATGTTAGAATATGAGTAAACAAGTGCACCAGAGTCATATAATGAGACTTCGCGTCCCAAATTAGATGAAAAGAGTGAAATGGAAATTGATCAACAAAGGAAACTTACCAGATTTCCTATCACTAGATAACATTAAGCCTGAAATTAACCTATTGGTTAATGGGAAAAAGATGACTCTCTTGTTTGACTATGGTGCATGTGGGACACCTTGTAGAGAATCGGTACTAAACTTAAATAAAAGAGATGATTAAAAGCAACTACAGAAAGAAGAGAGGGTTGCAAATAAAATAAGAAAATAAACATAAGAAATAATCCGAACAAAACAAGAAAAAGCAACAAGTATGTTTATTTAGACTAGAGAAAAATGAAGCCGAAGGGAGGAGTTGCAATCCCCGTTTACAGCAGCAGCTCTGCAACTTCTACCCCCACCAGATCCAATTGACCACCATATGAAACCTCATCACAACACTAGTCTATGTTAAGGAGAATAACAAATTTTGAAATAAGCAATAGAAGACTCCCAAATCTTAAAATTAGGTGAAATAAAAACATATTCTATGGTACAACCCTAATGGAGCAACAGATGAGTCTCCACATGTGTAAGGTTTTCATCCTTGACTGTAGGAAAACAGAACAATTAGGAGTTTCTCCAGAAATCCTTATTAGCTCTCTTTCCTGCCATAAAATCACCCCCTCCAAGAGGTGAAGGAAAGTTCATGAGGTGGAGGTGTGGATTTGTCTTGTGGTCTGACAATAGAGATTACTCAGACTAATGGAATAACCTTAAATGTAAATTGTGAAAACTAAAACTGCAAAGGATTTAAATAACCTTTTTCCGTAAGGAATAGAACTTGTTTTTAAATCTTATAGTTTTGTTCGAAACCAAAGGTTATAGGATGTTGTAGTGATGTTGCTTATTCTCACATAAGGCAGGTTTTGATGCAGCTTTAGTTTCTAAATTCAGGGAGTGGATCTGTTGAGAAACCTTAATGACTTTTCTTTGAAACAAAGGCCCCTCTTAAGGAGTTAAGATGCAAACTGGCCACAAAGTTCATTTATTGGATTCTCCAAAAGACATTACAGCTCTTAATGTTTTTTTGTTTTGTGTTTGTGTTTGGGAAAGCAAATGCTTTAGGTGTAATAAAAAAGATAAGCGAAGTTTTAAACATTTCACAACTGAAAAGAAACTAATTATGATGTTCTTTAAACTATAAAGTGAGCCTGTGTTGCTTATTGACCTGTTAACATACAGGAATTATTAAGTCAACAAAGAATATCCCCTAATAAAATACTTTAGTAAATACTATAAAGATAAGCTGCAGTGGGTGAGAGAAGAAGTAAATTATTTGGGACATACACTTTCTGCTGAGGGAAAGCAGATACAAAAAGCAAGGAAAGAGACAATTTCTGAAGCACCTAAACCAGAAACTAAAAAGCAAATGATGTCATTTCTCGGACTTTGCAATTATTGCAGAGCCTGGATTCCACATTATGCTGAAAAAAAAACTCAGGTTTTACAAGATTTGATTCATGGCACCCCAATGGCCATGACTGATAAAATAACTTGGAATCCAGAAGCTGAAAAAAGTTTTACTGAATTAAAACAAGCACTGATGCAGGCAACAACTTTGATTCTTCCAAATTATAAAAAAACCTTTGTTCAAACTGTAGACTGCAGGAATGGATTTATGACCTCTGTGTTACTATAAAATCATGGTGATAAGCTAAAACCGTTAGCTTTCTATTCAAAAAGGTTAGATCCAGTAGCACAGTCTTTACCAGACTGTGTACAAGCAATATGTGCAGCAGCATTAGCAGTAAGCATGTCGGCTGACATAGTTTTATTTCATAAAATGGAGCTGTTGGTTCCACACGCTGTAGATGTTCTACTTTTGCAGAGCAAAATGAATTTGCTCTCACCAGCACGACACCTTTCGTACACGGAAATACTTTTATCACAACCACATATTGTGATAAAACGTTGTACAATTTTGAATCCAGCTACGTTGCTTCCATTACCTTGTGATGGAACGCCACATAGCTGCCTAGAAGCTACAGAGCACTTGCAGCTTCCTAGGCCAGATCTACAGGACACCCCATTAGCAACGGGAGAAGTCTGGTTTGTTGATGGGTCATGTTCAAAGGACCCTATGGGTAAAAACCAGACAGGTTATTCTGTTGTTGCTTTACCAAATGAAATAATAGCAGCAGAAAGAATTTCCAGCGCTTATTCTGCACAAGCAGCTGAATTGATTGCTTTGACAAGGGCATGTGAATTGGCTGAGGATAAGCACTTGACAGTGTTCACAGATAGCCAGTATGTTTTCTCTACACTGTTTTATTTTGCTAAACAATGGGAGCGTAGAGGAATGACAACATCTACTGGGAAACCAGTAACACATGCATCTTTGCTTAAAAATTCTTTGCAAGCAATACAACTCCCCATTAAACTAGCTGTATGTAAATGCGCAGCTCACACAAAAGGACAAGGTGAAGTTTCAAATGGGAACAGACTAGCTGATAAAATTGCAAAAGAAGCTGCAGCAGGGAAACATGGGAAAGGAACTTTCTCAGCGCAGACTGAAGAAGAACAACACATGATAGACAAAGCAGTGTTTAAAGACATGCAGGACAACGCACCGCAAGTTGAAAAAAGGATGTGGATAACTAAGGGTGCGAAAATTAATGATGAGAAAATTTTTGAGGTTAATGATAAACCAGTCCTTCCTAAATCTTTATTTAAAGCAGCAGCAATATTGAGCCATGGTGAATCTCATGTCTCAACAGGGGGGATGGTAGGAATAACATATGGCTTTATGGTTTTAAATTCCTATTCAAAAAATTTTTGTAGGGCATGTCTAATATGTGCTAGACATAAGTCTCAGGGAAACATAAGGCCCAAACGAGGCAGGTTCCCAAAACCATCTTATCCATGTCAAACCATGCATATGGATTTTATTGAACTTTCACAAAGTGGGTCATATAAATATTGTCTAGTGATGATTGATGCTTTTCCTAAATGGGTTGAAATAGTTCTAGCAAAGCATGCAGATGCTTTGACAGTAGCTAAGGCTATTTGTAAAACTATTATCCCAACACATGGCATCGCGCTAACTGTGAAATAGTACTGTGAAAAGCAGATTAAGAAAATGCACGGCAGACACTAGCCGGCTCTGGCCAGAATGGTTAGATTTGGTGAAACTCTATATGAGGATCACCCCGACAGCTGATGGTCTAACACCTTTTGAAATAATTCATGGGAGAGCTTACAGATTGCCTCTGTTTGCTCCAGACTTACAAAAAGCTGATGAAGAACAGACATTAGCAGATTATATGATCAGGACCCTTAAACTGAAGGAGGTGTCCAGTGCAAATTTACTGCCTTTTTGATTCTCTTCCTGCACAGGAGGCCGCTCCGATCGAGCCAGGTGACTGGGTCTACATAAAAGTCAACAGCTGTAAAGATTGCTGAAAGACCCAGCTGGATACATCTCAGTCACTGTAAGCTGCAGAGAGTGTTAAACCCCTAAAGTTGGAGTAGAGAGGAAGGAGAGCTCTTTTGAGAGCTTCCGGGCTACAAAGGGGAGCTACATTATAGTTGTAGTTCGTCTCAAACCCGGTGAAGAAACGCTAAGATTCTCACTCCTTTAGTTTGGGGGTTCTGACATCTCTATACGTCGAGCAGCAATGGGGACTCCATATGACAGATGGACTTTTTGCTGCGCTGTGACTGTTGTATGTTTGATGTTTGGTGAAGGAAACGAGCCTGAGTTCCACCCACATGACTACAGTACCAATCTTTGGCTGAAAACTGATGAACAGAACTGCTTATGAGGGACATGCTGTGAACTGCTACGTGTGTGCGCAACTGCCAGTTTCCATACACAACTCAGGTCTCCGACCAGGTAACATTGCTGACGACAAACAGATGTGTCTCTATGTTCTAAGCACCAGACCGCGGCGCATCCCACCACCAAGGGGAGACAGACCACGTGAGAAGGACTATTCTGCTGACCTCCGGATGGGAGAGGCAGTGCAAGGACTGTTTCAATTTTTAAATTGTTCACTGGCAGACGATGTACTTCCTTTTCGTCATCTCAACAAACTGTATGGAAAATACTAGAGATCATTTCGTTGGCAGGAGCCAAACCAGGATCTCTGAGGAACTGTGTGTATAATAATGGACATGTTGTTCTAGGGACGTTGCCCTGGCACTTGTGTAACAGAGTTTACACCTACTGCGAACCGACACAGGATTTCATCGACTGCACAGCCTGCAGGGGTCAAAGGGCGACTCCACACTGCAAAGTCTGGAAGGAAAACCCAGATTGTCACAACCTGCTTCAGGAGAGGAGTTTCAACATCACGCATAAGACTAAGAGGAGACAGATGACAACACTGTGTAGCGCCATAATGCCAGGAGATTATGGCTCTCAGATATTAGCAGACTGGAAAGCACAAAATGATCTACACACCCGCTCCAAGCGAACAGCTATGTCAGAGGTCAAAAGATGGGGAGGCCTAACAATACATACTGGAGTTCCATGGGAATTCAGGATTTGGAACGGCGGAGAAAAAATTCATGCAAGGTCTTTTTCCGTGGGTTGGTCTAGGAGAGATTTGATACCATGTTTGAGATAAACAGGTACGGATTATTACGACTGATCAACATCACATACCAGCTGGCCAATGGCACCATGAAAGAACTGACTGAACTGAGAAACATGGTTATGCAAAACCGTGTTGTCCTGGACTTTCTCACTGCCCCTCAGGGAGGGGTCTGCAAAATCATTGGCCCAACGTGCTGTACTTTTGTGCCTGATGAAACAGGAAATGGAGGAATTATTTCTGACGCTCTATACGAGCTAGAAGATTTAAAACAGTATGTGGAAAGTGGAACACGCGGCTCATCCTCTTTTGATTTGTTTTCATGGCTCACTGCTGGACCATGGTGGTCCTTGCTGTTAAAGCTTGTGACACCTATTCTGATTGTGTTAATTCTGTTCTGCCTATTTACGGGTTGCATTATTCCTTGTCTACGAAATATGATGTATAAAACAATTAATACGACTGTTATCAACTATCAGCTGACAAAGGCATCTTATGAAACAACTGAAGATGACTTGTTCCAAGTTTCTGACGATTTTCTGAACAATCATGAATTTCTGTAATCAATAAACAGATGAATTCATTTGCTGAATGACTCCAACACCGAAAATGTGGGAACAAGTGATGTTTAGGATGAGAAAACTGCATTTGATTTTTTACTGTTTATTCTTTGTTTTTTCATGTATTTCATTATATAACTTTTATTCATTATGTATTCTCTGTGTTTAGATTAGTTTTTATTATTTTCTTTTATTTTCTTTTCTATATTTGGCTTCTGCATAGCAGTTTATACACATAGTAAAATGATAAAAAGGGGGGAATGTTAGATATTTTTTATTATTATCATTTTGCTGTTACTTTAGTTTATATTCAGTCTAAAGTATTATTGTGATTTAGTATAAACTGACCTGGAGGTTATGACTGTCTTCATGCGAGATAGTAAAACTTTATGGTTCTCAGACCCTAAAGTTTTCTCTGGTGTTTATCTACCCGGTCTTAGGTGACAGTTTGACCCAGAGCTGAACTGGGCTCAGATTGTAAATTAGATATCACACCTGGAACTGAGTTGTTGGTCTGTTTATGTTAAATGTTTTACGACCTCTGTTGTTTGATGCTTTGACAATAAAGAGGGAGCTCACGTGAAAGCAGATCAGAACTCTCTATTGACCAGCCCGGAGGAGCTGTTGATCGGGATTTCTCCTTCTGCAGAAGCCTGACCATATTTAATTCATATACGTTGTCTGTGGTTATTTTATTGTAGGTTCAAGGAAAATACCTAACAGGGCATAACTTAGATAAATAAATAAATAAAACTAGGAACATCTGAGTTTTTACTGGTACAGCAATTAGAAACATCTCACCTCTCTGATGGTGGAGATCCAGGAGATTTAAAGTGAATGGGATGACGCTTTGACCTGTCGCTCTTAAAGGAGACACAGCTGGGTTCTGGTTCTGGTTCTGGTTTGAGTCTCTGATGGATCCTGACAGAAACATGATGATTAAAACTTAATCAGCAAAGAGGAGCAGCAGCAGCTTCATCACCACGTCTGTTCTGGCCTGATATAGTGAACGCTGTGTGAAAAGGGCTGTGGACAGTTAGAGATGGTGACCTCACCTCTGACCTTTGCTCTGGCTCTCATCTTCCCCACACAGAGTGGTTTTAGAGGGAGGGACTCCCTCCTCTCTGTCCTCACACTGATCCATGCTGCTGAATCCACATCAGCTCACACACTTTCTAGCTTCACCTGCAGAGGAAACACACATCATTCATCTGCACATCAACTCTGATCATCCTTTACATCATTAGTGCTGGAAAAAGATCAGCTGCTCCTCCTCTGATTGGCTCTTCTTCTCTGCTTCATATCAGTGTCAGGTGAATGCAGTCAGACAGCAGAGAGGCAGAGGAAGCTGCCATCAGCTGCTGCACTTCTACTATCAGTCCACTAGATGGAGACATGGAGCAACATTTACATTCACTGATTCAACCTGACTGAACATCAAGAACTGAACATGTGCTCCATAAATATTTAATGACTGACTGAATAAAACACATTTTAACAATAATATTTTATTTTAAAGGAAGTGGCAGGAAATTGTTGTGTATGAATTTAATTGTAGAGACATGAGAACTCTTTCATGAAACTAGGATTCAGAAATCTAGAATAAGAGATAAAGCCAGGCTTGACATAGCAGCATCTGTACATTGTAGTTTTTTCTGTTTCACAAAGTCCAAACCTATCTCAGGAAGTATGACTATATTGAGCCAGGCCTAAATAAATCAGATGAATGCTCATTCAGATTTCTTTGAGACCATGAGATAAATCACAGTTACACTGATACTATAATGGATAAATTGTATACTCTATACCTTACATCAAACAAATAAATTTTTATATGTTTCAAAATGGAGAATTGTGAAAAATTGAAGCATATCATCCGTCCGTCCATCCATCCATTCTCTTTTGCTTATCCGGGGTCTTCATCCTGGCCACTTCACACTCGGCTTCAAACCGAGTAGTGGTCCACTACTTCCGGCAATGTGGACCAGACTGTGACATCAGTCACACAGGAAGAGCTCTTTAACCGCCTTGGCTACCTCATTGTCAGTGATAGGAGAGTCTGACCCAGAATCCCCAGCTTCCTTAATGGAAAGCATGTTGGTATTATTGAGGAGATCTTCAAAGTATTCTGCCCATCGGCCCACAATGTCCCGAGTCGAGGTCAGCAGTACACCATCTCCACTATAAACAGTGTTGGTGCTGTTCTGCTTCCCCCTCCTGTAATGCTGGTTCATGGACCAGAATTGCCTCGAAGCCATGCAGAAGTCTTTCTCCATGGCCTCTCCGAACTCCTCCCACACCCGAGTTTTTGCCTCAGCAATCACCCAAGCTGCATGCCGCTTCGATTGCCGGTACTCCTTCTGGAATCCCGTAGGCCAAAAAGGCCCAATAGGACTCCTTCAGCCTGACATAGGTGTCCACTAACAGGTTTGAGGGTTGCTGCCACGACAGGCACCAACAATTTTGCAGCAACAGTTCTGATAATCTGCCTTAACAATGGAGGCACAGAACATGATCCACTCAGACCCAATGTCCCCTACCTCTCTGGGAACGTGTTCATTGCTCTGCAGGAGATGGGAGTTCAAGCTCTGACTCACAGGAGACTGTGCCAGACATTCCCAACAGACCCTCACAACACGTTTGGGCCTTTCAGGTCTGAGCGCATCCTCCCCCACCACCGGAGCCAACTCACCAGCAGGTAGTGGTCAGCGGACAACTCCGCAATTTGGTAAATATTGGCAGCTTTTCTGATGTTTCAGAGGCTGCCAGGTTTGGACAATGAAATACCTTGCTGTGAACACGCAGACTCAGATGCTATGAGAGCAGAACCGAACAGGAAGCAGTTCTTGTGGACAACCACAGCTCAGTTGCAGTTCCTGAAACTGGTTGGTAAGAAGGAACAGACCTTGGAGAAGTTGCAAACTCAGCTCGGCGAGACTGATAATTAGTTTGGCTGTCTTGAGATGCCACTGAAATGTTAACAGTAAAACTTTAAGGCTGATGGGAAACTTAACAGTTAATCCAAAAATAAATGATCCACAATTTTCCAAATCAAATTATTAATCAAAATCAATCAATCAAATTTTATTTGTATAACACAATTCAGCAGCAAGGCATTTCAAAGTGATTTACATAATCAAAAACAGTCATGCTACATAGAATCAAAAATCAAAACATTACATTATGACGCTAAGACCCAAACATGCACATAAGAAGGTGGACGCAATGACAAACACACTGGTTTCTGATAGATGTGAGGCATGAGGCTAAACTAATTATGGATGTTAGCGTGATTTGGAGCTAGCAAGTTACACAGGATAAATTGCCACAGTAACCTATGTGCTGCTGTTTTTGTGAAAAAAAATCAAGGCTTTATGAAGCCAGGATATCTGAAAAATGCTGGCTTAATCTGTTACTCTTGAATTAAGGTTATAGACATATGAAGCTGATTGTTCAGAGAAAAAAATCAAAGAAACATCAGCTGTTCATTTTGTTTGCAGTTCATCACTAATTCAATAATCCTGACAATTAACCTTTACAAGGAAGAGATGAAACTTTGAGCTGAAATCAAAAGTGAATCTGTTCTCCAAACTTCAGAGCAAAAACAAACAGCAAAGCTCCTGAAGACAAAGTTTAAGTAGGAAACAAAGCAAACTTACAGTTTGTTCAAACGATCAGAAAGTTGAAGAACATCTGAATAGACTGACTTTCAAACTGAAAGTAAATGTCAGGTATTTTGTGACTGATGATACCACAACTCACATGGTTTTTAGTTCCTTCTTTCGAAGCAGCATAAGCAGAAGTTTTGTCTGAAGTGAAACCAGACAATAAAATCTTGATGAGGAAGAAAATAAGTTTTGATGAAAGTAATGGGAATCATGACAAGAAATGAGTCCAGAAAACAGGACAGCTGCTTTATTCATTCTGCAGTAACGGATCAGACTATAAACTGAAACAGAAAATAATCAGAAAAATTGAACTAAACGGTAGTTTGTATATAATCATTGATCATGATGTTAGTGTTGTGAGCAGAGTGAGGACAGTCTCTGGTTAAAACCAGGATCAGCTGAGGAGGTTCTGCTGATCCAGGTTGAAACCCTGATTTCATTTCAATCATCAACCTGAATTTAAAGTCAGAGTCATATCAAGCAGCAGAGAGAACAAATGCAGACAGAATTTGGGAGTATGGATCATATGTTTTGAAACCTGAAAACTGCCAGAAAACTCACAGGGAGCCAGAGCAGACCAAAAACAGGAACCAGGAGGAAAAATAAGAATATCAAAAGGGAAGTAGCTAGTGTTTGGAGTATAAGTTTGGTTAGACACTAACTAGTTCAGAACATGCTGTTAAAGGAAATATCTTAATACATTTGATTATACTTCTAGAAGAATTGTTTTCTAAAGGTTTTATTATTTTACTGAACTCCTAAACAAACACCAAAGAATTTGACTCTTCCGGTGAACAGGGAGATCCCCTCGACCTCTGACCTATCCGCTGGTACACACACTCCCCTTCTAAAGGCCCTCTTTAGTAATTTATATAAGTTCAGAGAGTCAGCAGTGGTTTTAGTTTGAATCCTTATCAAAATCTACCTAACTTAAAATTTACTCAAAAAATTCATGCTACATCTAATAATCCAGCTGAAATAGCTCCTGTCCAGCCACTCAAAGACAAACCTCCAAACATTGTAAGTGAGCTGAGCCGGTTTCCTGTCATACAATCGGTCAAACATCCCAAACTTTTTCAGGATGTCCAAACTGCTTTACCAGATCCTGACCCGGCCCAAAGACCAGCTGCCACCACTCATGTGCGCCTGGTACAAAAAAGGAGCAAAAAATCAAAAGATGACACAACTTAACACACTCATAAGATGGAGCAAATATTCACACCCCTTTATTAAATCATGAACTAACTGTGATTAAACCACATGTTTTTAAGAATCTGAGCTAATTTTCCCAGTGAATCCAGACCTGATTTTTATCTGACCTGCATATACAATAAATTATTTTAATAGAACCTGTCTGATGGATGATGGTTTATTTTTGGTCTGAGAATAAAATGTTTTTGTAAGGATCATGTAATCACATCCTGGAAAGTCCTTCAGAGTTTATCTTTGCTCTAAAGTTATGAAAACCCGAAACCTCTCCCTTTTTAACAGAGATCAATAACCAAACACTCTGATCTTTGCTTAATCTGCCAGTTTGACAAATATAAATGAACATCGCTTCAAAATGTGTGTATTTAATTACTTCTGAGTGGGAAAGTGTTTCTGAAATGGAGCAGGAAATACATTTCATAACAGCTGATTTGCATGTGATCAAAACAAGAAGGCAGCGGTCAACACACACACCCAGTGGTGTGTTCACACACACTCTGCAGAACTTTGTGTTCATCAGGAGGTTGATTGTTTCAGGTTTGAGCTAAAACAGAAGCAGCAGCACTTCCTCTACAGGAGAAAACACACGAGGTCATGAGGTCAAGCTTTGTGACAGTAAATAAAACACATGAATAATCTCTTGGTTTGCTGAATTATAATAAACATGATATTTATGTTATGAACAATGAAATAATTTTAGCTTGGATTGGCTCTGAACACATCATAAATCATTATAAAAACTTTGACTAGACTCAGAGTAGACTTATGTAAATATACACGATGAAGTATTTAAA